CGCTTACTCTGAAAATTGCTCCAGATTCGTCTTGTGATCGAGCTTGATCTATACTGTAAACCACTTGCGTTGCGTTTGGTTGCTTTCATGGGCTAAAGGTGCGTCTCTAGAGATAAGGGCAACACATGTATACATGTTCAATGAACATAAACTGTGTACGTATATTTCCACACTAGCAATGCAATGCAATTTTCAACCCCATTTCATGCTTCATTCCAATTTCTAGCATCACCCTCAGAGCCACATGAACAATGCAACAAAGGTTCTGCAAACACCAAAGGAGAGGTACTAGCTCAATTAACAGCTCACTAACTTATTTTGCACACCGCTTTTGAGCCATGGCTGGTCACAGATCACGATCAACAGCGCGATCCTCAGCCAAGTATATCCAACATGTCATTCCGGGGCAAGTACTTGGCTCAGCTGGCTGTACTTTGGGAACCTTGGAGAGGGGAAGCTCTCAGCCATTTGAGGTGGTGATCGTTGGTGCAATTTACATCGCATTGAGAGCGGCACTTTCAGGCGTTGGAAGGGATCATGACGCATGCAGTTGAATTCTTTGCAACCATATTTTCTTGCCATGCTACAGAGGTTGATCCACCTACGTAGGTAGTGAACATACCGTACCTTCAAATGTCCCCGGACCTTTAACCACTTTTTGGATCTTTTTGGGAGAAGTTAATTGCTCCCCAAACAAGCTTTCGACTTGCCAAATCTGCGGATCGAATCAGAAACCGAAGCCTTTCAATATCTTACAAGCTTCTGTTTCGAATCAACCGGACTGGCCTTCAGTTGCGGAAGAGACTGCCACTGATGCTGCAGGATCACCCAAGAGCACAGCCTTCAGTGTTGGCAAACTTAGAGCTGCCAGGGCCCAATGATGTGTAATACTTTGTTTGGTTTAGCCTGATCAGTAGTGGTGTGCAGCCTTTCTGCAAAACTAAGGATGACTCTGCTGCTTCGCTCTCCAGCAGAAGAGTGCCTTGGTGCCCACAAGCTTGAATCACCAGACAGCTAGACCATCAGCTGAGCAGCCGAGTGTCAGAAAGTTCTCTTTTCCAGTTTTGATCCTTTCTGATCCGCCTCAAACAAGACGACACCACTTTGGACAACGCATGCCATGTGGTTGTGTGAATTTTGTGATGGGCAGTTTCCAAGCCCTGCAGACAATTTGCCATTGAGGAACATATTCCTTTTGTGCACGGCCCATGTTTTGTGCTCTGCAACTTTGAATGAGTAGTTTGAACGCATCTTAAATGACCTTGTTGCCTATGAAAGTATTATGCGCCACATGGGTGATACAGACAATTATCCTGAACTGGTTGTGCATTTCGGATCAGCGCCACACGCTACAGAAGTGTTTATCATGACCGCAAACTCTCTCGTCTCAGAGCTATAATTTCCAACAGAAGTGCTTGTTCGGTTTCCTGCGTTCTAATCTCTGGCACGTCCAAACCGCTCAAACTGAAATGGAACCTTGGGACCCTGGAACCCTTACTGCTGTTGGGTTGCAAAGCTAGGTTGATTCTTGCGTGTGTTTGTTGAAGTCTTCCCTCCACAACCGTCAATACCGTCATCTTGAGGACACAATACAGGTGGCTACTTCCTTCGCCGCCTCACTCGGTCTGTCGCCGTTGCCAACCTTTGCCGAGGAGCCATGGGGGCCAGCATGGCATGGCGGGAAATGTCACGCGTAGTTCTCGTGAAAGGTGAACAAAACAACTCTCTGGCGCGTTTTCGTACAAAAGGTACAGGTCTCTCTCTTGTACTCGTTTTGCAACACCGGACGCTGGACCGGTTCTAAGCATGCAACCCAGGAGGCAAAGGACGAAGCAAAGCCCCCACCGCGCGGTTGGCAGATGAAGCTGCCAGAGGCCACGCATCATTTGTGATCCCTGAAAAGGATTGGAAAAGGTGGTTTGTTTGCCATTTTGTTTGGCAAACCCCAGTGTAGGCACCCGGCCACAACAATTCATATGCGCAAGGCATGCGCTGTCTTTCGCATCTTTCGCTCAGGGCTGGCAAATCTTCAGACAATTTGGTGTCCCTGGAGGTGACGAGATGAGGACCAAGGAGACAATTGTGACTGCGAGTGATGAGACGAGTGATGAGAGGGGATTGGCTTGATTGTAGGATTGGCTTGTATTGGGTGGACTGCCAGTGGACTGCTAGATACTGCTAGCCTATTTCTGCAGTTATATACAGAAGTATGGATCGCAGCTACTCAGCCCACTGAGAGAGTGGAGGTGTGGATATGCTGCATCAAAGGCCCAAGCACGTACTTCTCCTATCTTCTCCCTTTCAACGCCGTTCACTGCCCTTGCCAATACTTCCAAACAAGCTGCATAAGGAGTTGCTCTTAGCAGGGGATCCCTCCAAGGTGCCTTGGGCTTGCCTGTGAATCAAAGCAACAAAGTCAAGCTGATGGCAGTACAACGTGTTCATAGTTTCAGAGAGGTGGAAGCAAAGGTGAAACCAGGCACCAACTCCATTTGTTCATAGAGTGCTGTGCCGGTTGCAGCGGTTGGGGCGGTTGCGGCGGTTGCGGCGGAAACATTGCCTCTGCCTGTAGATCTGACCCAGGGTGCAGAAGTAAAGGTCCTTCGAATTCCTCTGCAGACGACTCCGCCTCTCGGCATTTGTGTCCTGAAGAACAGGTGAAGAGATGAAGTCAGATACTCTAAGAAATCTAAGATAATCTAAGAGAAAAAATATCCAAATCCTGATGGAATGAAATTGATTGGATCAACATAAAGTTCAATCAGTTCAATCATCATACACTTTGCACACAGGCAGGATCCTGACGGGACTGGGGCCTTGACTTTGATCGAGTACTTCCAGATTCCCTTTCCGAGGTGGGAACTCAAGCAGTGAATGTTATTTGTATTTATTTATGTTGATCAAGCCTTGCTGTGCCTTGAGTGTACTCCAAAGCAAGAACACACACACACACATACTCACAATCCCTGCAGAATATCAGCTCATTCAGTTTGGATCACTTCCAAAGTCTTGATATGATATTGATATATTATGATGTGATGCATTGTTGCCCGCTTGTCAAGGGTCACCAGAAAGTCAGTTGTGGAAGTTCCATCCTCAAGAGTCGGTGGTATGGAGGTCAAATCAGCTGCTGCTGCTGCTGCTGCTGCTGCTACAAAGAACAATTTGAAACAATCCGCAATGACAGGAAATGGAGTTTCAGTCAGAGCGAGTTACATTCAGCAATGTTCAGACATGTTCAGCAAGAGATCCTCGAAACAGTTCGGATCCGAAAGTGTATTTTTGCTGTTTGCCGTTTGCTGCGCTGCAAAGGAAGGCATTGGACACAACAACAGCTTTCCAGCAATGCAAGGCATGCAGAACACGTAAGCAGTGCAATGTCATGAATTCTGATAATGCTGGCGTGCTGAGTCTTTGAGCAAAGCCTTTGCTCGGCAAAAAGCCACCTATGCCTTCGAGCTGGACGGTGGGAGGGCACAATGGGCGAAGGACACATTTGGATCGAAAAGAAATGGGAACATTATGGGGACTATGGGGACTATAGGACTGTCATGGAACTGTCATGGACTGTCCCTTGCAACTTTCTCCACATGAAAGATGATGACGTGGCATGGCTTGTCTCAGTGACTGCCTTGCCGTAGGTGATGGCGAAGATAGGGCACGGCCGCCAAGAGAGAGGACGACTTCAGAGATTCTCCAGCTTTCAAAACGGTCATTACAATTCTGTGTATTCTGATTAAACCCCAGTCTTCATAAAAGTCTTGAGGTCCAAGACAAGCAGAAGTACATGCTGTATGAGTTTGACCTGACCCGCTGTGAGGGTCGGCAGGTGGGGGCTTCTGGATGCTCCAAATTTGGGCTTTGAGTCGCCTCAGACCATGTTGCATAGGGATGCATAGGCTGCATAGGGATCGAGTCACCTGGTCGGCAGGTGTTTGGTTCCAACGGCAAGATCTGTCAGAGGCGATGATTTCCGCATGTTCTTGCAGTTGAGGAGCTGAGGAGCAATCACATAAAAAAGGAATGACATCAAATTCTGGAACTTTGTTTGTACAGCTGAAAGAACAAGGCCGATTGTTGGCACGTGTCTGGGATGCAGGGCCATTAGGAGATCTACCTTTCATTTATCTTTCAGCCTCTGACCAGGTCTGACACTGGAGAGGTCCTTGACACAAAGAAATTTCATCACCTCAACATCAACACAGTCACGCCAGAGTGCTGAACTCAGAAGACTCAGACTGTCTCAGACTCTGCACGAAGTTTTTAGAGTTGCGAAACCATGTGCACTTTGTTTGAGGGGTACAGATGGAGATTGCGGCCGCATATGGTCCTTTAGATCAAAACATATCAAAACTAATCCCTTATTAAGTGCAGGTTTGCTATAACCCAGTAACAGCACCGATTTAGTCACGACAGCCACTGCCCAGACCTTTGCTAGCAGGCCCACGCAAACTTCCCGTGAAGCCTTCGCGGAGGCTTGGTGGTAAGGGTAATCCTTCCATCATATCACTTCATATAGGGCAAAGATTCGGCAAAGATGGGAATTGAGGTCGGTCTTTGGCTCCTTGCAGTTGCAGATTGCTGATTGAAGTTTAGAGCGTTGGGAGGTGCTGTGGATTGTGGACATCTCTGCGCCAGCAGAGAACTGGAAAAACTTGACCTCGACGCTGGAGCTGCAAGTAGCTGCCACATCCAGTGGATTGGATGAATATGGAGAAACAATGATATATTGTATATACATTATATATATATATGAATATAAACAGATACACATGTTTATCATGTTTGCATATCTTTTGCACAACTTTTTCCGCTTTTGTTTATGTTTGGGTTGGATCTCACAATGGTAGTCGTCTCATAGATCCTGTAGACCTACTTTGCAC